TGTCCGGGGCATGTTTGCTGTGCCCCGTCTGAGGCACTGGCACCCGGGGGGTCCTGGGGTGCCTGCCTTGGCCTCCCGGAACCGCGAGGTGTGTGCAGGGGGTAGGAATGGGGGAAACCCTGCAAAGCCCCGCGTGGGCCGTGGGGACAGAGCTGGGGGCTCATCCGCGGGCGGAGCGGGCGGGCAGGGAAGCGCTAAAGCCCTGCCTGAGCTCGCTGTAAAGCCACAGGGAGGATTTCAAGGGGGAGGACGTGCCCGAGGACACCCGTGCTGGGAAGCAGGGAGCTGGAGGACGTGGGACGCGACCCCTCTGGCAGAGGCAAAGGGGGCAGAGGGAACCGGGAAGGTGGCGGCAGCACAGGGGGTCCGGGACCGGCAGCACTGCCTGTCCTGGCTGGGTCGGTCCGTCCCGACGGGGCCAGGCTCGGTGAGTGCTGCCGGGGTGTCCCCGCGGCCAGGCTCGGTGTCTGCTGTCACCCTCTGCTCACTGCCTGTGCCGGGTGGTCCCTGTGCGGAGAGGCTGTGCTGTGAGGGCTGTGTCCCCACGGCTGTGCCACAGGGTCCCTGTCCTACACGTGTGCAGTAAGTTCTGTGTCCCGTGTAGCTGTGCAGAACAGTCCCTGTCCCACAGCTCTGCCAGAGAGTTCGTGTCCCCTGTAGCTGTGCCCGTCAGTCCCCATCCTACAGCTGTCCCGTATGGTCTGCATCCCTTCTCATTGTGCTGTAGAGGCCTTGTCCTCCCTGTCTGTGATGTGTAGTCCATTTATAGACCATCTGGTCCCCATCCTACACAGCTGTGCAATGTCATCTCAGCCCTATGTAGCTGTGCCTGTGTCCTTTGTCCTGTTTAGTCTCCATCCTATATGGCTGTGTTCTGTGGGCTGAGTCCTGTGTAGCTGTGCCATATGGTCCCTGTCCTAGGTAGCTGTGCTATATAGTCCCTAGTCCCCATCCTGTATAGCTACTGCATACTGTCCCTGTCCTCTGTAGCTGTCCTAACTGCTATATGGTCCCTGTCCTACGGAGCTGTGCTATAGGGGCAGTGTCCTGAGCTGTACAGTCCCTGTTGTAAGTGACTGTGCCCGTGTGATCCCTGTCCAGTGTGACTCTGCCCTATAGGCCGTGTCCTATTCATCTGTGCCATGCCATCCCAAACTTGTGCAGCGATGCTATAAGGTCCCCATCCTATGTCACTGTGCCCTATGGTCCTGTCCTTTATAGCTGTGCTATGTGGTCCCCATCCTGAGTAGCTGTGCCATATGGTGCTGCTTGGCTGTGCCATGCAGACCCTGTCCTGCCTACCTGTGCCACACATGCCATGTTCTGGCTGGCTGCTGCTTCTCCCCTGCAGAGACCCACAGGTCTTGGGGTGCCCATTGCAAGTGCAATGCTGGGGGGGGTCTATGGACATCAGAGGGGTGTCTGGCCCCCTCTACCAGGGAGCAGCGCTGCTCCTCACAGGACAAGCACAGTGCTGCATCATCCCTTCCCATCCCTGGGAAGAGGCTGCTTGGCACGCAGGTGATTTAAGAGAGGCAGCAGTAACATGTCCTGCATCAACCCTCAAGCCTGGTCCCATCCACCCTGTTATCTGAGCCCCAATGCCACCCCGGCATGGTCTGACAAGGAAGGGGGGGGGCCGAGGCGGCACGGCCGGATGCTGGGATGCCAGAGCGGCGCTGCCCGTCCCACGGGGCTCCCTGCGCTGCTGGAGCCACCCCAGCCTGGTTGCTCTCACACGGGGCCTTTGATCTGCTCCCAAAACCCAGGAATTGGCCCAGACCTGCTGAGGAGCCGCGGTGGGACCGTCCCCAGTCCCTGCTGAGCCACGGCAAGGGAGAGGGAGGGCGGCTGGAAAAACATAAAGTGGATTTTCTGTCTTTCTTCCTTTTTAATTTATTAATTTATTATTTTTTTTTCCCTTTCCTGGAGAAGAAAAATAACAGGGCCCTTATCTGATCGCCCCGGCGGCCCAGCTGAGCCCCCTTATCTGATCCTGACATAATGCTGGAGCCCGCTGCCTTCCCCAGGGACTGGCGGTGCCCGCCTGGCACC